CATATCTGAGGAAAAATGCATTGTTGGTCGGCGCCACCTAGCGTGCAGGCATGAATTAGCAGAAGGCGAACAATCGTTTCACCTTCGGTGTGAAAGCACCATTCATTGGCGATTTGCCTCGCTTTTTCGCATCGCACTCAGTGAGGAAAGGCCTTACCAGTTCTAATGCCATGGCGAAGGTTTGAGCAAAACGCTTCCACATAGACCACGAACATTCGCGCACCGAAAATGCTAACCAGTCCGACGAATCTTTTCAGTTTCGCAAAGCGAAAACACGGGCCATCCAATAAGATTTGAGAATTACATCACGTCCCCGGAGCAGCTGCTATTGCACAAAAAGGGTGGCCAGAGCAACTGCTGTTACCCAAAAGGTCGACGCGGTGGCACTAAAAGCTCAGGAGACTGTATTGAGCATGAGCGTAAAAACACAGAAGTAGAGGACTTTCAACCAACATACAAAGAATATGGATGTCGAGATGTTGTTGTCGTTGGTGTCTGAACATAGAGAACTTTTTGCAAAAGTCACACCGACTACAACAACCAGGACAAAAAATACGTTTTGTGGCAAAGAATCACGGAGAAAATTGGCATTGACGGTGAATTTGATATCTTTATATCATATAGTATAAGCTTTGATGTAGTCTGTTAACCTTCAATAATAAAAAAAAACTTGAATAATAATAAATGCTTTTAATAATACATTTTCTGTCAGCGCCACCTACCGTGTAGGCGTCAAATTGAAGATGCGAACATTCGTTTCGCCGTTGATGTGAATACTCAATTCGCCGGACATTCGTTTCACTTTTTCACATCGCTGTCAGTGTGGAGAGACCTAACTGTTCTGTCTTTGGCTGCACAGACGAGCACAGAACACTATTTAGAGTCCCAGCCTCAGAGGAGACAAGAAAGCAGTGGATTTATTGATTTATTTTCTGTATATTGCTGCTGCCACACAGATCTAAAATAAACATGCAATTTATTTCCCAGCTGTTTACCTTCACAGACCTAACCGAGTTTTTGTAACTCATGTGGGTTTTTAACGGAAACTTGTGTGTGAATGAGAACTTAGTTTAGTACTCACATGCTGTGACAGCCGCTTTCTGTCCGTGTGCTTCGGATGTGTGCACTCAGAAAACCGTATATCAGAAGTTTAAAACGCATGATTTCAGCGCGATAAACATGATAATCAGAACCAAAACAGATGTTTTTAGCAGGTATGAGCTGTAATGGCGCAGCTCAAAAGCTGGAATTACATATTGTAAAAAGGGGCATAATATGTCTCCTTTAATTGATGCTTTGTTTTATTTCATCAAAATATTCTAAAATATAATTTAATCTGAACACTACATGTCTGACACAGAAGACAAAGACCACTCCTGCTGTTTCAGGCTGGCCAGTAGGGCTGGGTATCGAGTTCGATACTTTTTAGGCACCGACCGAATTGCCTTGATACCATCGAGTATCGAAAAACGTCTCGTCGTTCAGTACCAAATTTCGATACCAAAGGGGTTAATCTCATCAGCGTCAGTGAGCCAATAAAGGCATACTTCATATACTTCACTTTCCGCGTTCCGTTCCATCTCGCGCTCAGCTGTGTCCGCACAGCTTTCAAAGTATACTCAACCGCGGATGAGGGCGGACGGACGAGCTCAACACAGGCGCAGTTTGACTTGCGCTCTGTCTCAACTTTCACCTCGCGCATGCGCTGTTGTACGCGGACCGTCCGCGCGGCCTCAAAAAATTGCCTGTCGAACACACCTACTAGTTTACACCTGTTACACTCAGAGATGTGGCGCACACGTGAGGCTGTAGTGCTAAAGCGTCCCAGCCCCCTTAGATGTAAGGCTACATTTACACTGGTGCGTTTGTTTTAAAATGAAAATGATCCTCGTCATACTGGCGTTTCAAGCCGGCTTTCCACTATCTCCGACAAGCGACAGACCGGTCATTCATTTCCAAT